CAAATCTTATAGGTATTATTATGTTCCTAAAATATTTAATCTTGACGATTACGTTTATTGATTAATTAAATTTAAATTAGCATTAACTAATTGGAGTAAGCGGGACGTTTTACATAAATCAGAATTTTGATCAAATCTTTATGATTTTTATTTGGAAAGGCAATCTAAATCAAATCATATAGTTATTGTTTTTAAAATACTAAATCTTTTAAAAACCATTATGTCATGACAAAAATCATTTATACTTAATGAATTTTACCTTATTTATTTGTTGTTATGAATATTTTTTTTACCAAAATTTACTCTTAGCAATAATTCTTTTTTATTGGTTTTCTATAAATAATTCTGAAATAGAGTCACTCCTGCTATTTTTATTTTCTTCACGAAGATTGAATTTTTCCACCAAAAAAGTAAATCATGTTGTCTTTGTTAAAAGTTAGCAACTTGAATCCATTTGTCAATGAATGGAGAATTAGAGTTAAATTCCTCCGAATATTTAAACTAGCTTCAGGAGGATATCAAACACTTGAACTCATCATGGTTGATGAGAAGGTTTGTTTTGGTAGATGTTTAATTTTTATGATTTCGTAGTGTATATGGATTTTGATGCAAATAACATGACTAGCACATCATTTTAATTATTAAGATACAAATCCGATAGCTAAATATGATATGCTCTCATCTTTCACTTTTTTTATTTATTTTGTTTTACGTTGTTCATGTAGATCATTGTCCAACAAAACTATCATATGCCTTTATTGTGATTTAAAAGGTTTCACCCAATTCTTTTACCTTTTACCAAAAAATAATTTGTACCGTACTAAAAAACATGAGTATATAGACACAATATAATATTATTTGATAAATATTTTATATTTATTGTTTTGTTATGCTCTACTAAGTTCTGGATATTTTGATAATAATTTAGGCAGATAAAATACAAATGACTATGCTCGAAGATTTCATTGGACGCTGGGATAAGCAGTTGGTCGAAGGTAAATGGATGATTTTAACAAATTTTCGGCTAGCATGGATAGCCGGCCCGTTTCGGCCTACACCTCACCGATTTAAGATCGAGTGGTTGTCAACTACCTTTGCATGATTCGTACCATCAAAAGGTGACGGGTATTACTTTTCATTTGCTGATTTCAAAGAAATAAAACAAGGTTTCTTGCGTCCAGAATTTTGTGTAGGTATGATTATGGG